CAGCTCCTTCTCTCTCTCCCCCCTCCCTTCTTCGCTCTTTGCCCTTGATGCTGCTAAGTAACACCAGGCCTACCTCAACTTCTCATAAAGCCGCTTAGCTTATGGGACATATTGATTCGCAGAGGGTTGATGCTTACAGAGCGTTCGTTCCATTAAAGTTGATGTTCGTGTATGGACCTCGAGCGTTATCTCACCTCAATCCGCACCGAGGGGATTTGCGGACCCTTCGTCACGCTCCCCTTCTCGTTGGTGGGATGTGACAAGACCGAGAGGCGAGGGGACGGCACCTGACGGGACTCAAGCAATACAGCAGAGAGGAGACAGAGAAAAATTTACATTACTGCTTACAGCCACGTGCAGCTTAGCGGAGGGACCCATCGGTCAGCTGCTCTGCACCCTTCCCATGCAATTTACGGCGACAGAGACCTGATGCCCGGGCTGTGGGTGCGCTGTGCGCAGGTGTCCGGAGCACACCCCGGCGCAGCCCGTGGAGGAGCTGGAGCTGCCGCGCTCGTCTTTGGCTAAAGAAACAATTTTTGGTTTGTGTCCCCGTTACAAATGCAGGATTTCTGATACGTGCAACACTTTTTCCTCCATCAAGTGGCTGTGAAGCTTTGTCTGTCCCCGGCACAGAGCACAGCACCAACACAGATGAAGAATACCCTGCCCGAGCTGAGAGAAGACAAACTCCCACCCCAGACCCACCGGTGTAAATCTGGAAAGCTCGGCTGTGCTTGCCGGACTACCTCAGGATTTACCAAGGCATTCACGAAAGCTGAATTTGGCCCAAAACTCAGGAAAGAAGGGTGCATTCAGCATTTGCTTCTCCGAAAGAATCACGCTTGCCAACTTCTCCTTATTACAAGAGGCCAAGCCTGCGGCGTCACTACTGACTCCAGCGGCCGCGTGCCAAGGCCGGGGTTGCCTGGGTGCCTGCCTGCGCCACGGCGGGGTGCCAGGCGCGGGGGGAGCACCCCCTGCCTTTGTGCCCGTAGCCAGGCATCGGGGTGTGTTCCCAACTCCTCCCCGGCAACTCATCCCTCAGAAATACCACCGTGCTAGCTTCAGAGGAGACAAAAGACACCATTTCTGTAGCCAGGGGCTAAAACAACAAAAGCAACAGCAACCGGCTCTGCAGGTTGGGTTAAGGCGACTCCAGAGCGAGCTCCCCTGCTTTGCCCGACTCCTGCTGCCAGCGTCTCCCGCTCTCGGCACGCACCCTGCTCCCACAAGAACAGACTTCCCCCCTCTGTCACCCAGGCTGTGCAACTGGCCCAGGAGAAAAGCCTTTCCCTTCAGGCTGGGACTGTTCACCATCATCCCTTGTGAGCACAGCCACGGCAGTATCTCTGCTCCCTCCTGGGAACTGGGTCACCCAACAGCATGGCTTGCAGGAGTCCAGGGCCGTGCTCCTGCTCCCGGGTGCGACACCGCCTGAACAGACAGACGGGCACAATGCAGGATGCCCACCACCCTCAAACAGTGCACATCTCAAAATTAAAACCTTGGTTAGTGGGTGCCAACCCATGCTGACCACCTTGGCTGCTGTCCACCAAAGTGTCCATCAGAGGAATCAGCAGCTCGGTATCCACAGCACCATTACCCCTGATGGTCACAGCTAGGTCAGAACCATTCCCACCAGACTAAATCATTTATATCAAGCATGACACATACAAATGGTTAAAAAAACCAAAACCAAACCCACCTCATTTCCCTTCATTCAGGGTTGTAATGCCATCATATCTCCAAGCATACCTTTTCAAAACTCCCTCTTCAGTTTTCCACCAAGACTCTTTTCCCCTGCGTGCTTTGCTGGGACCAGCGCGCGGGATGGGAGCTGGGGGGGCCGGGGAGAGAGAGAGAAGCCCCCGGCTCGGTCCGCTGCCAGCCTTGCCAACCCCGCACACCTCGCACGTCCGCCTGTTCCCAAGAGGCGGCTGGGTCTGGCTGCTTGCCCGTGAGCTCCTCGCCTGTTGTTTGGGGCACAGAGCTTCAGCAACTGCGCTCTCTCTCATTAGCCTTCTTCTAAAAGCCTGAAAGGAATGGCACAGTGTGCAAGGAAGAAATGTGAAAGAAAGGTTGCAGAGATACGAACAGTCTAAGGAAAACGTGAATCTTTACCTTCCACTACTGAATCCATCCAGGGAGAAGCTGTGCCCTCTGACCCAACAGCTGCCTGCGTAATACAGCATTTACTCTAGGTGTATCCCACACTTAAAGTACATGGATTTTATATACTCGCTCTTACAAGCAATATTTTCAGAGCAGTTTTCCTTTGACTTGAAGTCCTTCTCTTCTGTGATCTATTGCAGGCAGGTAGACCTCACGCATCATTTTCTTCTCTTTTTTTCTTTTAAATGATGGAGCGTTTCCCCCATGCTAGATACTGACCTTCTACCTCTTAAGCACCCTCTTTCTCTTAGGTAAAAGGAGATTATGCTGAATAGTCACACTTAAGTACCTTTGGCATGAGAAAGTAGAGAGAAGGCCATGAAATCTCTCTTTAAAACCGTTTCTCCCAGGAATCCCACTTCTGGCTTTACTCCTGGGTTCATGACCATCCCGTCCGTGCCCGCTGCCGGGGCTGTAACCCCATGTTTATAGACCACTGCCCTACCCCGATCCCCCTCCTCTCTCCTTACCCCTCCC